GCCGAGTTATCGTTCGCCATCCGGCACTGCTGCCCCCGTACCCATGCCATGGAATTGCACGACATGCTAGGTCGGGGTTTCTCGCATTCAGCTGAGAAATCCAATTTCGTTTTCGCTACAAACCCTGCTTCGCTATCGATTAGCCACGTGGAAATGGCCCCTGCCCCTATTCTTTTTGCCTCTGTCGTCTCCTCCAGTGTCTTCGGCCTTTTTGTCTGTGTCGTCTAACTGCTTTCTTCACTGAAGCCGTCGAGCCCAATCTCACCAGTTACGCCTCTGCGTGGCTCATCCCCGTAGGCATTCCCGTCTTCCCATTGTCTCGGGCGATGCGCTTTGAACATTTGGATCTCGTGCGTCCCGGCAATTCGAATTTGCCAATTGTCTGGTCCCCGTCTTGGCGGAATTATCTCCAGCGGAGCACAGCCGTCCCGTGCCATCGTCCTTCGAGGGTATCCATCTCCAAAGGATCAGTCAACGACTGCCCTTTGTTCCAACTCCTCCGTCTTGCGCCCGTCTCCCGTTCTGCCCGTACCGCGCCCAGAAACAGCGGTTCCCAGCGGGTGATCGATCTTGAAGGATCCACTGATCGGCACCTTATAAAGGACTGAGACAGACGCCTCGGGGGGGCAGACGCCTCGCCGTAGGTATCACAGCACTGCAGAACCCTTTTGACCCATTGACCTTTTTTTCGCCTATTGATCCTTCGCGGGGTCCGCTGTTCTGGAGGCTTATCTTCCGTCGCATTCGCTGCTTCATCTTCCTCCTCCCCGCACCGTCCGCCCTCACCAATGCTGCAGCGCCGGCGTATCACCTAGAACGTGTGAGATGAACCACTCACGTTACAAGACGTTTAAGAGAGGGTACACGGTCGGTACACTTAATGAGGGATAACTGTCGTACAGCAGGACACGAAGTGACTGAAGGATTTGAATACGGATGCAACTCAAGCAACACCGCATCGGCCTCCCCCTGACAAGACATTGGAGAAGTATTCCAGAAATAACATGATGCTACAAAGTAAAGTTTTCTTGGTGCATGGGGTATTCCACCCCTGATCTCATTGGAGCAGTCGACCCGTCGGCAAAATGTAAAGCTGCTGACAAGGTGACTCCATCATCGTCGTGTCACTCAGACTGGTATCACCGCACTCGACGCCTTGCGCACACACACATACACATTCATATCCTTACACCCCAAGAATTACATCCGCCGCCTTCTCGCTCACCATGTACACCGGGATCGCAATGTAGAAACCAGGGATCTTGGGGAACACGGACGCATCCACCACCCGCAACCCGTCCACGCCCCTCACCTTGAACTTGGAGTCCAACACAGCCATGGAGTCGTCGTCGGTCCCAATCGGACAGGTGCAGCTGGCGTGGTGTCCCCAGGCCTCGTTCCTGATGAACTCAGGCAGGTCCGCGTCCGTCACGTTGGGCCCTGGCCAGACCTCGGTGAAACCCCCGGTCAGGGGCACCACGCTTTCGAACATCTTGCGCGAAAGCTTCATACCCTCCACGACGGCTTGAATGTCTTTGGCGCCGTCCGCGTCGTTCTGGAAGGAGTTGAAGTCGATCTGCGGCGTGTCTCTGGGGTTCGCCGAACGCAGCTTCACGGTGCCCGCGCGGTTGCGGCTGTGTGCCTTGAGCGTGATCCACGACCAGTGGCGCGCGTCCTTGGTGCCGTCCGCGGAGTACCCGGGGTAATACCCAGGGAAGGCCACAGGCGCGCCGGCGATAAAGAGGTCGGGGTCCCCCTCCGCAACGGTGGACTTCTTGACGACGCCCAGGGAGATACCGTTGGACCCGTAGATGCCCGGCGAGCTGCCGCTAGCGGTGCCCTCCTCCCACTTCTTCAGGCAGGGATCGTTGGCGGTGCCGTCGCGGATGAAGGTGCAGTCCTCTGTGATCTGGAAGTCGGTGGGCGTCTCGCCTATGACGGTGGTCTCGTAGCGGTCCTGCAGGTTGGTGCCGACGCCAGGCAGATCGACGACGACGGGGATGTCGAAAGAGGCAAGCTCATCCTTGGGGCCGACGCCGCTGAGCTTGAGCAGCTGCGGGGTGTTGAAGGCGCCGGCGGCGACGATGACCTCGGCGGTGGCGTTGACGGATCCGGCGGTGCCCTCATCGCTTCCGGATCGCGGGTCTGCACGGTACAGGCTCTGGCCCGTGACGAAGTCGACGCCCACGGCCCGTGGCTTGGTTCCGCTCTGGTCGAAGCGCACCTTGGTTACGAGGGTGTTGAGCTTCAGGTCGAGGTGGTACTTTCGTGTACCGTCTGTGTTTTTCGCGTTGGCGGTGTCGAGGACGAACTCGCGGGGCCCGACTCGCCTGCCGCTGTCAACAGAGATGGGAACCTGGTAGAGGCCCTCAGCGGCGTCGCGGCCGGACGAGTCGACGTTGAGATCGCGGAGGAGGACCTCGCCGAGGCCCTGGATGGTGGAGAAGATGAGGCCGATCAGGCTCTTGCCCATGGCAGAGGCAGCGGATAGGATCACGGTAAGAAGCTTAATGTCCTTGATGACAAGTCCCAAGTCCGTCACGCTGGTCGTAAGCCAGCCGCTGAAACCATGGCCGACGATGCCGTTGGGCAGATACTCGGCGTTCTCGAGTCGCTTGAAGTACTGGCGCATGTTCGAGGCACTCCAAGAGCTGTCGCCGGTCAAGCTTGCGATGCCGTCCCAGTCAGACTTGTGCGGGTACACAGAAATCAAAGCATTGTGAGATCCGCAGCCTCCCAGCGTGCCGGCCCGAGGGTAGAGAATACCGAGGGGCTCAGCACCGGCGGGCGGGCTGAGGCCGACGTAGAGCTCTCCGGAAGACGTGCGATACGTCATCTTGGAGTCCTTCTTCTGGGCCTCGAGGTCGCTGAAGTGGTTGACATAGTAGTCCCATCGCATCGGATCGTACTCCGTCGACTGGAGGTTAAGCGCGGGCACCTTGTACGGGATGGAGTCGCCCTGGTCGTCGCCGGCGTCAATCAGCAAGACCTTCTTCCCGGCAATCGCAAGCCGGGCCGCGAGCGGCCCACCACCGGGGCCGGACCCGACAATCACGTAGTCGTACGAGGTGTCCGTAGACTGACGCGCGTAAAGCTGCTGGCTCGGACTGGCGACGAAAGAAAGAACTCGTTAGCGCGATGTTGTGCGTTGCAGATTAAGTAGTCCAGAACTCACACAGCAGAAGCTGTGGCCACGATGTAGCCAAGCAGCGCGTTCGTGACATGGTGACCCCAACGCATCTTGCTTGGAAGCTTTGAGCCGGTCTCTGAGAGGGTCGCAGTACCAAGCAACTCAAAAGAAGACCATTCTCAAAAGCTTGTGAATGTCGGCAACTCGTCGTCTTTATTACAATGCTCCATGAAGAACCCCTCTTCAGCTGGCAAGCTGCGAATGCGCTCAATGACCACAAAAGCAACATGAGACCCGTGACTCTCCCTTGACTTTGATTAAACTTGCCGCCCCTCGTCGCTTCTTCCCCATCTCCAATGCGACCTGCTTCTTTGCAATATGCATATGTCTTGCCTGGCCAAATTGGCCATCACTATGCATGGTAGCACGGACACCACTTCGCGATGAACTCAGCCTACCGCCGTCGGCCGAGGGAACGATTGGGGAAGGACGCGGAGCGCGCAACGGGGATGACGATGCTCAAATTTGTGGGAACACGAGCGGGAGGCCGATTTGGCGTTCAGATGATTCAGGGGAGCGTTGCGCAAGAATGCCGCGGTCCGGTAGACGCGAACTTGGCATTACTCTCTTGCGGGACCGCTTCATATGGAGTTGCCCTGGTTCCCTGAATCATGGTTGAAATCGGGAAGGTTGGCCGATGCATCTCGGACCGCCGAGCTCGACGGCGAGCGGCTTCCCATGTTGTGCGGGGGATAGCTCAGCCTTGGAGGGAGACATCGGGCGCTGGACTGCAGATGCGAACACAAAGGGGCAGACAACCGAGAGTGGCTTTTCATGCGTTGCAGTCCAAGCTCCCATCAGACCTACGAACTGCCCATCATAGCTCCCACTCTATCTATGTTTGAAGGATGATATGGACAATGTCGAACAGGTTTGGCAAAAGCCCATCTCCATCGAAGAAAAAGGGGGCAGGCATTGTTTGGCTCAAGAGGCCAGGAACACGGCGCGCGACTCATGACCCCGGGGCTGATCCTCTGTTCGTCACACTCAGCTGCCCACCCAGCTGACTGAGTATTCGCGCCCCTTGCATTTCCCCCAAGCCCTGTCATCCCCTGTCACTGGATCTGGTTAGCACCTTTCGTGCTGCCAAAGAGAAGCTGAAAGCCCGCTGAATTCGTCCCATTCCCGTTGCGGCACCACGTGTGGCTCACGACGGCAACGATGACAACGATGCAGTTGTCACACACAGGCTAGACGCCTCGAGTACCAACACAGCCTTCCTTAGCCTTTGCTTAAGCCTTATCATCGAGAATATCGCATGCCTCCGCTGCGCACTTTCTTCAATGTCCGTTGCAGATGCTTCTTTAATCAGCGGAGCCTGGGTCGGACGATAGACAAGCTCATTGGTTTCCAAACGAAGGGGCTCTAGCAGCGATTCTAGTCGCGATCCCTTGCACGTATTGATAGAATGAAGCCTCATTTACCACATGGCAATGAGACACATCAGCCACGGCGTCCTCTCCAATGAAGAGTGAATGGAAGCGTCGTTTGTTCTGTCCGTCTGGTACCAACAACCTGGTGGCCGCCTGTTCAGTCCGTACAGCCGTTCTAGAGTCGGTTTCTCCCGCGTTGTCCGTTTTCGTCCATGCAATACGCAACACTCGGCCTATCGCGCTGAGTGGCACTTTCGCGTTGAACTCTGATCTGTCGAGGGTTTTATGTAGCGCTTGCTGCTGTGTCCAGAGCACTTTGTCTCTTGAAGCTTTTCTCTTCCCTTTTTTTTCTTTTGTTTTGCTATTTGAAATATCCCCCTAGAACATCCACGCCTTGCTGTTGCGGCCGACAGGTTTGAGTCTGTCTGTTTGTAAGGATGCATTTGGTGCGGGTTGCTGCGGGCGCCCTGCTGCTGGCGGCCCACGCCGCCGGCCAGTCCACACCGAAGTTGAATTCCACGGCGATCACCACGCTCCTCGCCGGGACCCCAGCCTGCGCTGTAAGTTGTTTTTCTCTCTTAAGTCGATGATTTCATGTGTTCCAAACATCGCCGAAAAGGGCATCTTCATCCAACAGCCACGTCTTGGCATTTGCATCGCCGCATGCTCACCGGACCTAGATGCCATGCTTCGCCGAGGGGTTCCGAGCAGGGAAATGCACGATGGCCGGTCTCACAGACTGTGTCTGTACCAACATTCCCCTGCAAGCCGGGGTGTCTGCATGTGTGCAGACGTCTTGCATCTTCGACCAGCAAGTCGGTTCGTGTTATCCCCCATCCCATCAATGAAGACCATCGACTAACACTCGCCAAGCCACCGCGGAGATATCGCAACAACTATGCCGTGGGTACCCAATACCAGAACGTCGACGATTTTCAAAAGTCTTTTCCATTGTCCTACCTTCCATAAGCACCGCAACGGTGGCTCTCCGGTGTGTCGCGAGATGGACCGTCACGAACCAGCTCTGGTGGGATGACTGGACGGCCTTGATGGGCTTGGTGCGTTGCGAATCCTAGTCTACTATCGAGACTCGCCTCTGACTTGGATGCAGTTCTTTCTCATAGTTTCCGCAGGACTGGGCTACTATAGTGAGCATTCTCACTACCCCAGATGAGACTCGAAGCTAATAATTCTAGATGCCGGCCTTGGCTTTGGTATTCATTATTGGGATGTTGAGCCAGGGAAAGGAAAGACCATCTTGCAGGTGAGCTACGATCCTCAACTGTCATTCTCCTCCCACTTATGTACTCACATTTGGTGACAGATATTCTACGTTCTGCAGATGCTCTACATATTCGTACTGTAAGTCCATCTTTAAAACCAGCGACTGAGGTTGACCCTCTAATGATAATGATTCAGCATCTCCGCCAAGTCATCGATATGCTGCTTTTACTCACGAGTATTCACCAACAACAAGCGCTTTCGGCGGTACACAATAGGGTTCATGATATTCCTCCTAACACATGGCCTCATGTTTCTCTTCCTCGTTACGTTCCAATGTCTCCCCATCGAAGCAATATGGAACCGTCGAATCGAAGGCCGCTGTCTTGATTACGCAGCTCTCGGATACGGAGGAGCCGCCGTCAGCATATTCGAGGACCTAATCCTTTTCATCATGCCCATCCCTGAGCTCATGAAGCTGCAGCTGTGCAGGAAGAAGAAGCTCGCGCTTGTGTTCATGTTTGGCGTCGCGTCTTTGTGAGTCACTTCCAGACGTTGTAGGACAGTGCCAGCTAACCAAAATGCAGTGCCTGTATCGCCAGCATGATCCGCCTCAAATACATGGTTTCATATGCCAACACCTACGACGCGACGTGTAAGTATCTTACACGGACTCCATTGATGTGCGGCACTCTAATCCAACCCAAATAGGGGACAACGTTGACATTGTTCTCTGGTCTTCCATTGAACTCAACGCGGCAATAATCTGCGGCAGTCTTCCCGCGTTACGCCCTCTCTTTAAGAAGATTCCCGGCATTCTCAGTACCGTCAAAACCACAGTGCAAAGCGGATACCACAGGAAGTCGCGGGACCCATCTGGAACAGCCAAGTCCAATGCCTCGCATCAGTCTATTGCACTATCGTCCGAGGCGTCGCCACGGAAGCCGATTGAGCCCAGGAAATTTGGGAGTAGTTCAACTGCAAAGGATACGTATGTAACGACAGATACAAGGGTTGACACGACAAGTACGGATGGTTCGGAGAGGCATGAGTGGATGGATAAGTCGACGTTGTGTTAGATACCCATTGCTTTATGTTTTGATGTCCAGTTACAATATGATGATTCAGTCTTGAATTCCAAGTCCAACAGAAAAGAAAGGTCACTCAAACTGAGTATTGCCTACCTTATGCATAAGAGTTTTGCCCACCGTGCGGATCCTTCTAGCTAACCGGGTATAATTATAATAATTATGATTTCTTCATCACTGTCATCGTCATCATCGCCGTCGCTATGGATTACTATTATTATTCATTCTACTACCGTCATTCGTAGGATCAATTAATTAGGAGAAATCAGGGGCGTTGTCACGGGAAAGATGGGCGGTCTCCGAACGTATCATTCGATGTTGACTTCGATACCCGTCCCAGAACAGACATTGAACAGGCTGGGTGGTTAGCTACTTACAAATTAAGGCCATTGCAACAAGAACGGTTTTCGCTGAACGTGAACTATTACCTAAAACACTTTCATGATATCCATGTTGTCTATCCAGAGGCTCCAGAAGAGCAGGTCACGCCACTAATCCCACTGGAATTGGCACAGGCGACAGTAGCACTGCCGCTAGCTGGCTTCACTTTCCAGTTACTGAAGGCAATCTTGCAGGATCCTTTGACCGGACAGTCGATGTTTGCTGTCACGCCCTTGTACTTTGCTGATGTGGTTCCGGAGAAATTCTTCACAAAGATGTCGGTGATTTGGGCAGTCGGGGGGTTCGACTTGCAGAAGTCCGCGGTCTCGCCGTAGCAGGTCTGAAGCTGAAAAGCATAGTCGCTGTTGTCGAGAACGACCCCGTCCCAGGTGATGTTGCTGACAGTCGCGATCCCGTGCGTGCTTCCACCGGGGTAGACTTTGATCCCGGCGGCCTTGGTAGAGGCTTTCATGACCGCGTTGCCGACGAAGACGTTCTTGACAAAGTCTGTGCTACCGGTCGTCTTGCCTAGACTTCCAATGCTCAGACCGTGACTGCCGGAACAGGTGATGTCCCTGATCTCAACACCGTCAGCTCCGGACTTGAGTGCGACGCAGTCGTCGTCGTTGACGACTGTGATGTTCTGGAGGTTGACGTTCGTGGCGGGGCCAATGTCAAATCCATCCGTGTTCTTAGGCAGGTTGGTGGACGTTGACACCGCGGAAAGGGAGATGTCGCGGAAATTGACGTTCGTCGAACCGCCGGCGGCTGAGAGACCAAAGGAGGGAGGGTTCTTGACGGCAATGCCTGAAACTTGGATGTTTGATGACCCGGTGATGTAGAGCAGGGTCGGCCTGTCGTATGTGCTGTCCGAGGCAAACTTATCCCACGACCCTTGGCCGTTGCCATCGATCACCCCGGATCCAGTAAGACTGCGAATCTTGGCATCCGTGACTTTCTTGACGTTGATGATGGACTGTTTGCCGTTCCAGTAGGTGAAGTCTTCGGAGACCTTCAGAGTGCCTTCAAGTTGGAAGTCGCAGTTGCTACATCCGGCGAAGTCGAGAGTTGAGCCGATCGTGTAGGTCGTACCTTTCGGGATCAAGATGATGCCACCGTTTCCGCACTTCTGGATGGCGGCGACGATAGATGGTACGTCATCTTTCGAGGAGGTGGAAGTAGTGGGCTTGGTAGACGATGATTGTTAGCCCACGTTGGTCTTGCCGATAGCGTAGTCACAGTTCAACCGGCACGGCGTACTTACAGTGCATGATGCTCTCTGGATTAGGGCGCCTCCGTTTCGTTCGCGCAGTAACGAAGATGCCTCGAGCGCGACAGCGCTGGCTGCGTAAGCAACGGCAGTTTTCATAAGACAAACCATGGTTGGAGAAGTCGGCTGCGGATGGCACTCGTATCTTCGCTGATAGTCATGGCCAAGACCTAGGCTTTAGTAGATTCGGTTTCCTGTCTGGTCGAATGGGGGCGCCAACGGCTAAGGATGCCGACGGTAGATGGATCCACCGTCGGATATTCCACATTGGGTCTAGATGGTGCATTCCGGGGTATAAACAAGAAACAAAGATATCCCGTCAACAGGAACAATGGGCTAGTTGGGTACGAGCTGGAGACTGAAAAGAGAAGTTGTACCCTGTTCTGGGCGGATCCCTGTAGCACTGTCACTTGACAGGAAGCGATCCCCAAAGTTCCTCCAATCATAGGGACCCTGACCGTCCAACGGGGAAACATGTGCTGCCAGGAGTGTGGTGTGTTAATTGCGTTCAGTGGATGTAAGCCCCTGAACAATGTCCCTTCGGGCCGGGCGGCGGTCGAGTTAAGCTTTGCACACCCTGTGTCTAAGTGTGGTGATGGCCTATGAAGCCAGATTGAGCCGTCGCCAAGCTTTTGACAGTTCATGGAATGATTTTCTCCTTCGTCTATGGCTGTGAAAAGATGGGGAACATTGCACTGTATCGTTCCAAGGTAAATGCCAACTGCCCGTCCCCGCCATGAGCCGCAAGCGCTTCCGAGTGAGTGAAAGACACATTGGAGACACGTACATTCGCAAGATCGTTGCCAGACAAGACTGCCTATCAAACATAAGAAAATGCCTACTGATCAAACGTCCTTCCCGATTTCCCTCACACTGAGAATGCCTCTGATGAATGCGTAAATGAGCCGAGAGTCCAGCAATCAGGCTTTTGGCAAAAGACCTTCACATCGCGCCACGCACGGCACTGGCGCTCAGTCGAATCGGCGTGAATCATGGTGGGTTTCTGTAAAAACCGACGGATCCGACCGGATCTGGAGACATCTCACCTGCATCCTTGGGCTCTTCACACGTGACAGTCTTCTCAAGTTTACTCTTCGGCTTCCTTCTATCAACGTTAACCTACCACCACGCATGATCTATCCAACAGGTTCAGTAGTGTGCAACCTTCTCGGCCCGTTTGAGATGTGGCTCAGCCGACCCTCGGCATGTCATGATGAGTCGACGCCGCATGCTTATGAGATCAGGAAAATACACGGCTCTCACTCGGCTACCGGGGTGTGCGCATGCGACCTCTGTCGATCCGTAAACCTGGTGCGTATGAGGCATCAGGCATTCATGATGATTTCTGCTGCTGATGTCTCACGGCGGACTGTTGGTTGGTGCTAAACCACCACGTCTGCTCTCCAGTGTGGCAGAGCCCTTCGAGCGACCAATGACCAGGTGAGGAGAAAGGACCCCGCAGAACCGAGAAACCGTAGACATCGTTCAAATCGGCGAGTAAGGTGGATGAAGCGGGAGTGTTTTCGGGAGACATACCTCTTTCCCCCTTTTGGCACTTGGCATTTAAGCCACCAAGATGAGTGAGACACACTCGGACTTTAATTTTTACCCTTCACGTCCCGACGGCCTCGTAGATGCAAGTCCCGTAAAACCGGCTCAACTCATGATTGGTCACATCCTTGACGTTCCTCTTCAAGGTGTCAGTTGTCTCCATCGAAGGCGCGGTGTGGCGTTTAGAACTGGAGGATGCACGCATATCTTAGTATTCGGTTTGAAAATACGGCTGCCTGATTTGTGAGTTCTGGGCAACATCCTGTCGCTTGAACTTGGTCGATCCGTGTGTCAAGATGTGCATCATCACAACGGACTATGAATTAGCCCAGAAGGGATACACACTAGGCTGTGTTCAGGCAATGTGGTTAAATACGAAGGACTACCGTGGCACCGGCTGGGGACCCGACTTGAACATGCCCGCCGAGTGAAATGTAGGTTTCAGATATCATTATCTCTTCAAGCTCTTTCACAATCTGTACAATCACGAAATTCCAAACGCTTAAATGGCAACTCTGAGAGTCGTCATGGCAGCCGTTATGGCGTTCCAAAATGATCCATTAGACTCTCAGTCCAACGAAAACCAAAGATGTCCATGCACGAGTAATCTTTCTCACATCGACCTTAGAGTGGGCCAAAATCACCATCTCGAACAGAAAGGTTGTGCTCCAATGAGAATCAAGGCGCATGAAAAGCCTCTCAAGTGCGTTATGCACACAGCGAAACCGGAAGTCGCGAGTAGATAGGTGCCCTGCTCACTGCTGGGTTCCCGACATGGGCCACACTCTGATGTGTGAAATTCATCTTTATCAGCTGATACCTGGGATAATCGTGAGCTTGAAAGTAAAAGGTCAAGAGATTCTCATTACATCAGTGGAAGAAGCGGAAAATGTGTCAATTTGACCAAGTGATCGAGCTCTACTTGAAGGAACTGGGGGTGATATCACCGAGCGGGGCATTCAAGTCAAATACACATTCAATCTCGTGTACATGAGTTGGTATCTCAAATTCAATCCAAGCACAATAACACAATGGTCTTTGCCCTAATCAACTCAAACCACAATCTCCCACATGTTCAGAATGCCAGAGTCAGCCCGCCCATGATGCCCATTCGTACACCTGCCGGATACCAAGTATTTACCGTCATTTGAGAAAGCTGCCGAGGTCACAAAGCCAGTCTCGAGCCTTGCTGAGTAGATAACCTTGCCCGTAGCAAGGGCAGTTACGTCGGCCCCCTCGTCCGTCCGACTCGCAACCCATCGAAGGTCAGGTGAGATAGCCAGGGGCCAACCTTCACTACCACGCGCCGTCTCGAAGTTGTAGCTGTTCATTGCCCCTGTGTCATAGTCCCAAATCGTCACCGTCCGCCCCCATATTGAGGCCACTACTCCTGAGGGTGAGACAGCTAGCTGAAGTGGGTTCCTCCAGCTGTCCATCTCCAGCTTCGCAATGCTATGGAGCGTGCGAATATTCGTCACTCGCATCGTGCCGTCTTTGGACATCGTCACGAGTCTCTCACCGTCGGCTGTGAATTCTGCGTGTGTTACTTCGTCTGTGTGGCTTCTGACAACGCCATAGCCCAGGCCCTTTGCGCTACTGATGAGTTCAACACGATGTCGAACTCCCTTAATCGCCAACAAAGAGCCCTCTGGATTGAACGCGAATGCGCGAATGCCATACCATTGCAAGAAGAAACGCCTGCTCGTCATGCCCGTTCCGCGAGGAGTGTCAAGCACGTAGAGCGCCGGTTTCTTGAACCGAACGAAGTCGTGTGTGATGGGGATGGGCTTCTGCTTGTGAGGGAGGTCGTCCATGTGTTCCACTGTTATGGCCATAAGGTCGCCCATCGGGGAGAATATCATATGGACACCCCTGACCTTGATCTCTTTCCGGCGGTCAGCAGTCGTGGCGTTGAAAAGGACAACGTCCCTGTGGAAGCTTGCAGTTGCGAAAGTCACCGGGTTACCGGGCATGAACTTGATATCTAGCGGCTCTTTCTCAAGGTTCATCACAATTTTCCCAATATGTCTAAAGTTGACGTTTGAGGGGGGCGGTTCCGGAAGGGTGGGAGCGAGGTAGTTTAAATTGAGCTCTGGAGGCGGACTCGTGTTAGAAACGGCGCTGCCTGCGATCGATCTTCGTGCAACCTGGAGGGTGGACATGGCCCCCGACTGCTGCTCAACAAACGCTTTAAGTGTATTTAAGAAGCCGTTGATTGTGGTGGTATGAAGCTGAAAAAAGCCAGTAGACTGCCTGTCGCGAACTTCGAGCTCCCGAAGCAAGCTGGTTATGTTCTCTGACGAGGTTTCTTGGCCCAACAGATTTTGTATCGATGAGATGTCCTGGAGAATGGGGTTTGTGGCATATGGAGGTGATTCGCCGTTTCGTTCAGCTCGCTGTAACCCTTTGACCCTAGATCGATTAACATACGGTATATAACAGGTACCCAAAGATAACTCACAAATCAAGCCCATTTACAGCTAAATTCAGAGCTCGGCGTTCTGTTGCGAGAAGCGAGCCCAAAACAGCAGCCTGCTCTGACAAGCTCCCCATTTCATGGAGATAGAGTCGGGGTGAGATGCGAAGAAGTGATTCGATTTGCGTAATGTTCTCGACACAGAGATTAGGAATTCGACTAATCTTGGATAACAGATCGACATCCGCCTCACAACCCGACGCATTCTGCTCGAGCTTTACTACCACATTGGGCAAGCTCAGAAGCTCCTCCAGTAATGGCGAAAGCTGTACTTGACCGTCAGGATACGCGGCGATGAAATGGCGCACAGTCTCGCCAGCTGGAGCCAGTTTTGACTGCAGCTTTTGACACTCAATGATGATTCCCTCCATTGGAAAATTGAATGGTCGAAGTCCGTGTGATAATCTCACGACCGCGCTTCAAGTCGGAAACCCCGTGTGATTTGTGATTGTTGCTTCAGGTGAGCGAGCTTGGCGCGTGCAATGCCCAGAGATAGACTGTGGCTAAGCTCAGGAGGTTTTCTTGTCGCTTGCGGCAGTTGCAGCGCTTATGAACCGGAGGCGACCGTGACTTTGTAGTATCTCTGCCCAGTCGCGTGCCCCTGTCTAGGCAGCTGAATAATGTATTGCGGCTATGGCTGCAGATCCCGGGGCGGGAATGATGTCAGATGAGGGCGTCCGCCGTCCTGGATATGCGCTGTCGCGCAGCGGCGCAGCCACTGAAAGGAATGGCGCTAGCATAGCCGTCGTCGTTTGGGCATAGCGTGGTGTAAATCAAGACATGTCGTAGTGAAGCCGATCAAGGTTGAATAGTTGGACAGACGGCAGGGCTGGTCAATCAGATCCAATAGTGTTGCGTTAATGTTTGTGTTTCAGACGCGCTCCAGTGAGCACCAGGGACCTTGGAAAGATGCATGCTGTGAGCGGTAAACTGTTGGAAATGGCGATGGCAAGGGGTGGTCGGCAGGTGTGGGGTACATATTGACACATTCCACACGTTCTGATATCAGCAAATCCTCGATAGTCTAGTGGTGAGGATATCGGCTTGTCATTAATACGATTCGCCGGGGACCGGGGTTCAATTCCCCGTCGAGGAGTTTCTCTTTTGCTTTTCCGCCTTGAAGAATAGTATCTCTGTCTTCATTGCCTTCACTTCAGGTTGTGGCGCATTCATTTTTTTCTGTCTCTCAAAATGAGAAAGGCCCACGGCTAGTGCACGATTTATTGATCATAAATTAGAGTTGTGTTCACCGAACTCGGATTGACTTCAACATGATAAGTCGTCTGCCTGCTGTCACTAGTTTTTTCTTTTTTTTTTTTGGAGGGCATGCTTCATGAATATCTTGTTGTTTTATATCGCCATAACTTAGAAAATTAGCCACGGTTTTGATGGAGCCAAGGATAACAATTGTACGATCAATAGGACATCAGCTGCATGCGAAATTCAGGTTTCATATTGCGCGCATTTGAAAAACTGATCCATGGATAGTGGAAAGAGTGGACGGGACCTATAGATCCCACAGCAATGACAAAACCGACAACACCATTCTAAACCCGAGATCCCTCCCCGTTGCATGTATGGATTTCCCTTGACTCCAATCCTGTGTCAAACGAACCGCCCAACCTGGAAGTCGAAGGTCCCACCCAACATAAGAAAGTTGAATTGTATGCGTATCATGACCCTGGCATTGCCATCCCAGCAGCGCATGCTCTTGTCGAATGCAGTCTGGCTATTCCAATGGGATATTGGGGGATCTAAGATTTGGAGTCAGTGAAGGTTCATGTCCTTGGACTTCATTGTTGTCTCCTTCAGTAACTTACCACTACTGTATCGCAACAGTCAATCGAATCTACTTAGCAGCAGGCTTCGGCAGCAGACACTTCGTGCAGTTCGGGCTCGATGGCGACTGTGCAGCCAAAGTTGCCGCATCGCAGTGGCAGACTTTCGAGGGGTCGGAGAGAGCAGCGACGGCACCGGCGGGAACGAGAGGAGCAGGCATTGTATTGATATAATGGTGGTATTGATGAAAATGTGGAAGTGAGGGCACGGGTGGTGGTTTTGAAAGGACCGATGCGTTGATAGACTGTGAGATGATATGGCTGATGAACGGAATCAACCTGAGGGCTTTGGTCGCAGACTTATATATCGTGAGAATGGCAGGCCGGCGTGGGTCTTCTCCGATGTCACCGTTCAAAGTGCTGTTGATACACGATGTCCTAGGAGAACGGATTCCAGGCAGGGAAGGTTGTCGGGAGGTTGATAGGTCGATGCAGCAAGCGCGGCTACACCAGGGGGTATCCTTGGCTCCCAATCAACAACATGTACAGCCGCTTTTTGGGAATAAGGTCGCATCGGCAGGGACTCTCTCAGCCCTACCAAACCTCGCATGAAACCACGGGCGCCTTTCCCGGTATATCGGTCCTTTCTCCTTGTCATGAGGCCAATGAGAGGCCGCAGGCTCACCAGTACGATAGTGTCACTGGCACACTGTAGATGCGACTATGGTGTGTCGGTATGTTAAGTGCGGCCGTAAGGATGGCATGGCAGCAGGGGGTGACGATATTGGCACCGCCTGATGTGGCTCGTGGGAAGCGTGGGATGTTAGCCAACGTCCCGTGGTGGTTTCAACAAGATGAGAGCATGCTCATCGGCGTATCTTAGGCACCAGTGAAATCGCTATGAACTTGATGTTAGTGTAGCCCGGGCGGACTTCCCTCGTCGAACCAATTGTCCAATCATAGTCGTGGACGGCGAAATGGCCAACTGAATTGGGCCCCCTGGAACCTGTAAAAGAGACTTTAAATCGGCTTCCCCCGTACTTGTGAGGCTGACACGCGTCTTTTCGACCTCTAACCGGGCTTCTGGAATCACCTTGAGAGAAGAGATAATACGATGCGACCCATCTGCTTGGTTAGTTAGTTGAGCCTCGACTTCCAAAAAGGGTAATGGTACGTTTATACTGGCGTCAGTTCGCAACCGAGGTTTGGGGAAAAGACCAACTACCGAAATAGGAAATTGTACGTTCATGTGTAGTGGCCAAGACACGATCCAGCATTCTCATTCGTCCGCCCCGTCAGCAGCTCGCACCTTGACAAGGAGGCTGAATGAAGCGTATTACTCATTGTTCCAGCACCAATCCCCAGACCGTTGGGTCCTGGGGGCCGAATCTATGGATCACGGGCCAGGCACACGCGAAGATCAGTAGGCTTAGTCCTAGACTTCCTTGCCTCTGTCTGTGAACTCTAATTGGGGACTACCCGGGCGCCCTAAATCTGCTACGAAGGCCAGGTCGAGCACGTAGATCTGCCCAAAACGAATAATGCGTGTTTTGCAAACACCTAGAAAGATCGTTCCCCACAATTCCTCCCTACGCCGACGGAGGAGGGCTGGGCTGCTGCAAGGCGGACTTTCAGGGTCATGTCCAACGAGAAGCCTCACCTAGTAAGCTGACCGGTCAACGTCGATATGCATTTGCCACAACAACCATAACAGCTCAGTTTCCGAGGTTCAATGATCCCCCGAACATGAAACAATGCCGCGGTTGATATTGTTCTCGGTCAGTGTAGGCCTCGCTTACTGAATCATTCCGATGAAGGAGGGGGTGGAGGAGGGGTGGGGGTTCATTATTATGTTGGCTGTGGCTTGACGAAATAGTTGAAGATAAAAGTCCCATGCATGTCTCTCCCAGCAAGGGAGGTCGGCACGCTTCGGGCGGGCATATGCATGCCGTCAAAAGAACGTTTGCGTCAAATGAGCCGCCGCAGTGGTGCCAACGCGCCGTCGTTGGCGGCGCTAGACGCCAAAATGCAGTTCTGTACTCCTGTCGAGCGACGTGACAGGGGCTTACCTCAGGAATTCTTGAGACACGGGTAGGCAGCAGAATAACAAAAGGACCGGCATTGAAGTCAATGTGTTTCAGAGCCATCATAAAGCAGTCGTGTGTGGCTTGTATATCAGACCCCGTAGAGCCACGATAGTTCATGCAGGGTTGCTGTGGAATGTATCTTGTAGGCTCTCTTGAAGTAATAGCCGAGGTTCATACAATGCTGCAAAGATTTGGCCTCAATCTCTTTGATCTCGGGGTTCTTTCTGGACAAATCACTGCCAAAACATTTACTAGGGATTGTACACTATGTGACTGACTTCAAGCCGGCCCTTGCCTGCGTCATGGCGTGCCTTTAGGCTTACGTTGAAGATCTTAGACCAGAATCAAAAGTATGAAAGCAAAACTTGCACGGTACTTGAGAAAGAGCCTCAAAAGGTAGACTGGTTTAAATGCTATCTTATGCAGTGAGAGATAGAACGTGAGTAAGCCGCATGGCTCTTCGAGTAAGTGTGTCGTGCTACCTTCTTTTTCAAGAAGGCCAAGGACTGGTAGTTGTGAAAGGGTCACGCGGCATAGGTTTGGAAGGGTTCTCAGCCGCCACATGCGGGGACCGCATCTCCGCAGAAAATGATGAGGCTCTTGTCAATGTTTTGACCCCACCTAAGCCAGTTGCGAACAGCCGCTATGGATGAATATAGCATCATCTTTCTTAGCTATCTCGAATCCTAAGTACCATTAGAAGAAGGTGATGCAATCATGCAACCAACGACAAATGTGGCTTCGATATCAGGCCATGGCTCACAGCAAAAGGTCCTTACGATCCTGCCAAAACCATACTGCCCATAGCTTTCCTAAAAGAGTAGAGTGACGGCTCTTTCTTACCTTGATTCTAAACCTTCGGGCGTGGAAATCTTGGGGCAAATTGGAATATGTTAAGCATGTATTACACCAGATAGTGGCGGAAATGCAAGAGCTGTAGAATATGAGCCTTTTCATTTTAGGGCTGGAAGTATTGGTAGTAGGGGGTGTTAATAAGAGAAGCATCATTAGAGGTCAAGGGCGTTCTGGATGCTGGAGTGGAGAACGTGAGGCTCGATGAGCTGGGAGTCTTGCCCACGACAGACAGTGGTTTGGGACCCAGACACCTCCATCATTTAGCGTAACACAGTCGATGGTTGGTCTGGTCGAAGCAAGGTTAATAATCATGAGCCTATGGACAGCCTTACCAACTACAGGGGCCACTGGGGATCATTTGCACCGGCGTGCTTGCCCAAGGTCTTTTCTTATTCACGAATCTGGTCAATACTTGATGTTGAGACAAGCGAAACATTAGCTGCATTCCTTTTCATGAGCAGAGAACATCTGAATGTTGTCGACTTCATTGCGGTAGGCATGGACTGGTGAGATAATAGTAGCTACTGACAGGGAAGTGAGAATGACAGCAAGAGCAGCACAGACCACGGAAATGAATGCGCATGGCTATGTACGTACTAAAGTTGATGTTCAGTATACCGAAAAGACTGGAAGCTGGACGCGGAGGTAAATACTCGATTGATGAGAATCTGAAGGGCTCGGAATAAGATTTTGTGCTGTAGAATAGATGGGAGATGACAACGTCGTAGGGGTCTTTGGTTCAGATAATGATGTCACTTCTGTTCACTAAGATAAGGTACTAATGTATAACAAAGATATGAGCGAAGAGAGTTGGAAGCTTCAACCCAATTACCTGCAAGAAGCTTTCTCTGGCCGTCAAAGGGCGAGCAAGGTGCTGTCTCCCGAGTGGACTCCCTGCCTGCGCCCGACTTGGGTTATTGACTACAAAATCAAACAGATAACATCGGCGTATGTCAACGTTGGGTGAACAATGTCAAGACGGTAGTTGGTCAGTGTCTTCACCATGCCACAGTGGCCATGGGATGCATTGAAGATACACAGCCAATCGGTTAAAGTTCATCTACCCGGAGGACATAGCGTGGGAGATGGCGCGATATCTGATCAAGGAAGAATACGAAGGCCGCATTGACTGCGCCACGTTGGTTCTAGGCTACAAAAAGGGGGAACGCTGGTTGCGGTGTGGTCGGGTTCCGCGGCCGGGTTCCACAGTCGGGTTCCGAGCTAGCGCCGGCTCACGGCCCTCAGTGGGTAGCTTTGAAAGGTCGTCGTTCAACATCAGCTTCCTGAAATCAAGTCAACCCAGATAGGAAGCTGCGGGAGAAGTGTTTGTGCCCGTCTAGAATTAGCGACACAGGAATATACTCAAGCGGAACTGGCTGTTCTTCGAGCTAAAGAAGGAAGAAGACTACTAATGATCCGGACTGAGCCGTCAGTCTGAATTATTTGATAAGAACCCTGGAGAAGGAGCGTTTTATAACCATTCTGGGGTTAACTTCATGATTGTGATATGTTCTGAATCAACCTGTATTGCTGCTAAAGAGAAAGAAAACGCATCACCCGAGAAAGTAAAATAGAATCGAAGCTTTTTGTGCAAGTGTGACGATGTGCAAAAGACTCAAGACAGTGAGCGCAAGCGCAGACTATCTTCCCTAAGGTTCTTTACATGTTTGCGACAACGCCCACACCCCCGAGCAGGGCCCCCAAAGCAATTGCAGCAGTCTCCTTCGGTCCAGCAGCGCGGCTACTGGTAGTCTTGTGGCTGGTGGTGGCGGCGGCCGAAGCGGTTTTACTGGCTGCAGAGTGGGTTGTTGAGTGTTTGGACGACTGGGCCTAAATGTTTTCGTTAGGATTGGCGTTGTTGAGGTTTGTGAACATTTCATACCAAGGCGAACGAGGCCAGGAAAAGGCAGATGGCGGCGGAGAAACGCATTTTGACGGTTGGATCTGAGTAGTGTGGTATTTTTTGGAGACTCGCTTTGTTTTTGGAATTGTGGAAGATGTCCTTGGAGATGATTTCGGAGAATGATGTTGCTAGATGGTGATGACTGAGGTAGTTGACACGGGAAGGCGGCGTGGTACTCTTATACTTTTCACTCTTATACTTTTCAGACGCTGATGCATCCTAGATGATCTGCCTGCCAACATACGTTCTTCTTCGGGAACTTGACAGGCTTACCCGCATGGGGAAAGTTTCAAAACACTAGCACGGAAATAACTGTACATCTCTATGAGTGAGACGGATAAAAGTGTCGCGCTGCAGGTCTAGATGCGGGTTCGAGATTGCTTCAGCCGAGGGGATGGTACTGCACGGAGATCATGCCAAAGAAATGATTGAAACACAGCCCACCGAATGTATTAATAGAACACTAAGAAGGCAGCACTGCTGTAGATACAAAAGGATTGGCCCATAACGGTTGCGGTCTTGTAAATGACCGAGATCTTCCTCAATTTATTGTGCGTAAACATGGGAGCCCTAGGACAGAAGGTGATTGGCTGTACCGTATCTGACTCGAAACAGAAGCTTTTGGCCGACAAGGGCTAACCTAGACTAAAACCCCTACGCTCCGGATGTTCGTCAACATCACCCGCTCCCCCAGTTTCGCCAAACTAACATCATACGAATTGCGCCAGACAGACGCGCGATAGGTTCTTTGAAGGAATGATCAGATCACAGGTATGGAGTCCGAGAGGCGTCATCTTGGACAGCTCCCACGTTGCTCTTGCACAGCGGCAGCTCGAGAACCGCAGATCAGTCCGCCTTAACTTCCGGTCGCGGTGTTGCTCTTATCCATATCGGAAAATAGGCTTTGCCATTCAATTCGGCATCCTCGGGTGTAGAGCCATCGCTACTGATGCACTACGTAGGCATCCATGGTTGAGAATGCGATGCTCGTCGATACTGAGATGAACTACGGACAGGGGAAGTGAGACGAAAATGATGCAAGAAAACCTAGTGGATTACCAAATGAGTTAGAAGAAGGGCGGTTGTCCAGCTGCTTTGACATAGGAAGCTAGAACTGGGAGTGGGCGAAATCCATTGGAAACAAAGGCGTCCAAACTCGGACACCGTTCGTGGGCCGCGGGTGCCGTTCCCGTCCGCCGCGGGCATTGCTGTGATTGATCAAGGGCTCCCTGTCTCCAGGAATTTTACTACACCATATTGGCCTTTCAGCTGTGTAGGTTGCAGCTCTAGTATAACATGAACGTAACATTCATCACTCGATGCTTCTGTCAACTCTGCTGAAGTCTGATATTACACAGCTGTTAGTGTCATGGACGGTATCCCGCTGGAATCCCTGGCAGCCAAAATTACTCCGCGTTCCCCCTTTTCCGGCACGTTCTAATCAAGTGCTTTCACCAGACCTACTCAGAACTAAGGTACCTGTCGCATCATCTCATGTTTCCTTTCAAATGCTGCACGTGGCTGACCCACTCCCGGGTATCTGACATGTTTCCGCTAACTGAACATGCAGGTTGGCAATCAGTGTCGTAGGGGTCCCCACTGAATGCTCAGTTGATTGTTGACTAAAAGCAGTCTTATCCTGACAACACCTGTGCGCTTGCGGCCAGCCGAGCAGTCTCTTCACCATGGAATAGGAAGATGGCTGTGCTCGGTTTGTTGAGGTGAACTATTGACTGCTTGATCGGGTTCGCTTTGAAGTAGATAAATCTATCTATGCCTCGTTCTTCGGTTTGTCGAGACAAGCTGCATTCCACCTCTTCAAGTCATCTTCATGTAGGTATGTGCCCGGGAGAGAATCGGTGACGTGAATTACATGATGTTAAGTCTGGTCCTTTGTAATATGTGTTGCGTTTTAAGGGGCATCAGAAGTTCTGCAAGGTTGCACAGCTCTACATCAAAGAATAGATGCGCCTCGAGGCCAGAGGTACAGCGACCTTCAAAATTTCAGGGGCTAATGCATCACTGGAGTGCACCCAATTTAGGTCAAATAGTGTCTGAGGCCTCGAATCATACAGCTCCATTTGTTTATTTGAAGTTTGCGATCGCAAGTGCACACAGTCAGTCGGCGGAGCCTAGTCTCAACCGGCCGACTGCTCCGGCTTCGGCGCTCCGGAGCCGGCGTTGCTTTCAAAGCACCCTAAGATCGTAAGATGATGCTCTGTAAGCATGAACATGTAAGCACATACAACCCCGCAAACCCCATCAACGCGATCATTTGTGTGCATGACTTTATCGGGATTATTTGTGATGTCAATTGGATCAGACGCTTAACCGACTCGGCTTGTGTCGGACATCCCAATGCAGTAATCCTGCTAGAGGAAGATCTTTGGCCGCCCCAAGACCCCCGCATCGTCTCAACAACATGTGCTGAGCAAAGACGTCATTGGTGCAACGATTTGAATTCGAGATGATGATGGGAACGCTGAGCAACAATCGTTCATGAGCCAAAATTTCGGCCAAGATATAATGCTGCCGTCTGCCCGCTGACTGCAGTCGGTCTAGAGAACATACGCCCTCACCTTCAAGCTGTACTCCTCATGTCAGCCTGAGACATGATCAAATCCACCATGTCATCCAAGCTTTTGCCAGTAATCGAGAGGCTCCCCAATGTCTCGGGCACCCCGGAGTTCGAGGCTGCCCGCGCGGCCATTCTAGAAGAGTTCGCTGCAAAAGTCCCTAAAGAACTGCACATCTCACCGGCCGTCATCGCCAGCCCACCGAAGAACGTCGTCGCCCTGCCGAGAGAGTGCGGCATTCTATCATCCGCAGAGATTGACATCACCGAAAACTACGATGCTGTCGCGTTGGCCGAAGCCATCGCAGCCAAGAAGTTCACGGCCGTGGCCGTTGCCTCGGCCTACTCGAAGAGGGCAATCATCGCGCACCAGCTTGCATGCTGCCTGTCAGAATGGTTCATGGATGAGGCTCTGGAGCAGGCCAAGGCTCTCGATGAACACTTGGAAAAGACGGGCAAGACGGTTGGACCACTCCACGGTGTGCCGATTGCCGTCAAGGAGATGATCCCACTTGCAGGCCACTACACATCTCTTGGCTTCGTCGTCACGCGGCACAAGGCCGAGAAGGATTGCCAGATGATCTCCATTCTGCGCAAGGCGGGAGCCGTGTTCCACTGCAAGACGCTGCAGCCCCAGGGTATCATGCATCTGGAGACGGTGTCCCCTCTAGGTCGCACTCTCAACCCACACAACATCAACCTGTCAGCAGGCGGGTCGACCGGTGGCGGAGCCGCATTGGTGGCTCTGCGAGGAAGCCCGCTGGCTATCGGTACAGACATTGGAGGCAGCATCAGAACCCCAGCCGCTTTCTGCGGCATCTACGGCTTCAAGACGACCTCCTACTATCTCCCTATGAGAGACTTTACCGGAGACTATGGTTATGCCGGTGAACTCAATGTGCTTGGTTCTACTGGTCCCTTGGCTACGTCGCTCAGGGACATGGACCTGTTCGTGTCGGTGTTGAAAGACGCCCAACCTCACTTGGAAGACCCCAGGCTGATTCCGATTCCATGGACTGGGCTGGAAACAACACCGAAGACAGGACCCTTGAAAGTCGGTTTCATGATGAACGACGGAGTCGTGGTGCCGCAGCCTCCGGTCATCCGCGCCTTGAGCTGGGCCCGCGAGCAGCTAGCCAAGTCTCCCGCATTCGAAATCAAAGATTTCATCCCCTTCAGAGCCGCCGATGCTATGGAAAGCGCCCAGCGCATCTTCGTTCCGGATGGTGGCAGGATGATCAAAGGAGCAATGGCTGCCACAGGGGAGCCACCAATGCTGCTGACCAAGGGGACCCTTGAAGCCGCAGAAGCCATGAACCAGGACCTCGATGCCGCCGGCATTCTCCAGCAACGGGTTTCTCGGGACAAATTCAGGTGCGAGTTCGCCGAGCACTGGATGGCGCAGAACGTCGACATCCTGATCAGTCCAGCCTATGTGGGACCTGCATGCCCGCATGATGGCGCCTTGTTTTGGAATTATGAGTCGTTCTGGAACTATGTCGACTATCCTGGCGTTGTAGTGCCTACACCGATCAAGGCGTTGAAGAAAGGCGAAGAAGATTACGCACCAGCTGATGCAACTCCCCTGAGTGAGGATTGTAAGCGGGCGAGACACTTTTGGGAGGAGGGGGACTATGAGGGAGCGCCGATCGATATTCAGATCGTTGCTCGCAAATATTGCGATAACGAATTGTTTGCTGCTTTGAGCGTGCTTCAGAGTCCTCTCGCGATCTGAAGCTACACGTATATTAACCAAAGCGACCATGAATGGACATAGACTAGTGTTCATAGAAACCAACTTTCTCCTCTCAATCCTGTGTCTCAAAATTTTGCTAGGATCACTCTCATGTTACTCGAACAAAAAAGTGTCTGAAGGAAAAATCACTAGCACACGATGTGAGAGCGGATGGTCTTGAGTAGAGTTCATTATGTTGGTGGCCGAATGCTACATGGTTCATGCATGATGCCTGTCTAATTTGAGTCTAACGAGGTGGGAGAGCCGCACCGAAACCACATCATCACGCTTCTTCAACGTCTAATCGACCGTAAAAAACACATAGGCCTAGGCCTGGGTATCAAGCATCCTGTCGCTGCTGTATTACATCCTCCGCCTTGCTGCTCCAAGTTTCAGAAGCCTCTCACTTCTCGTTTCTGACTTGTTCCTCGTCGGATCGGAGCGTCAGCTCGGTGCTTGCTGAGCGCGGAGGGATCGGAAGGTCTTGCGCATGCTCCTGCTCCTGTGTCGGGGCCTTAACGGCCGCTGCACCGGCCATCATGCCTGCATCTGCACAGCGCTTGCGGATAGAGAAGACGGCCAAGACGTGGCCGGCGATCCACCATGCAAAGAGAACTGGCAGAGCAACGCGTGTCTGGTCAGCGCATCCAGACCAGGCCAAGACCATCATAGAGTAGGCCTCATGCGCTGGCAGCGCGTAACCGATGCGGTAGAAGC